CTGCACCTGGGCAGGTTGGCTTTGGGTGGCCTTGTGTCCTCTAGTTATGTGTTTTCGGACCTGGAGCTCCAGCAGTGCGGGGTTACAGAGGAGGACCTCTTCACAGGCTTCCTTGTCCTTGTTAAAAGCCTTTCTTCCCGGGGCGGCAAACACTACGAGTTCCTGCACCTCACAGTCCAGTGCTTCTTTGCCGGTCTCTTCATTGTGCTGGACAACAACCTCAGCCGCTCCACGATTCCGCAACTCTTCCACCCACAACGCAAGCAGCCGTCGGCGCTGGCCTGCGTGTGTCTCGGGCCCTGCCTGCACTCCGGCGCCCGGCAGGACGCCGGAGCAGAGGGGGATCTCCGGGAAGCCGAGACACCCAATTTGCAGATGACCGCCACCTTCGTAGCCGGGCTGCTCTCCCAGCGCCATCGGGGCCTGCTCCTGCTGTACGGCCTGGCCCCCACCTCGCTGGACAGGAAGTGCAAGCAGGTGGTGAAATGCTTGTCCAAGGGGATGCAGAGGCACTTCAAATCCATCCCTCCCCCCGTGGAAGGGGAGAAGAAGAGCATGCATGCCATGCCGGAGTTTGTCTGGCTCATTAAATGCATCTACGAGATGCAGGAGAGCAGCATAGCGAAGGAGGCCATGGCAAAGGTGGAGGTAGAGCACCTGAAGCTGACGTACTGTGGCATCGGTCCCGTGGAGTGCACCGCCCTGTCCTTCGTCCTGCGTCACTTGAGGTCTCCCGTCGGCCTGCAGCTGGACTACAACTCAGTAGGCGATGTTGGAATCGAGCAGCTCCTGCCCTGCCTAGACAAGTGCCATTCCATTTAGTAAGTGCATGCATTTCCCTTACCATGACAAGTCCCCTCAGGATCTAGGAAAGCCTCACGATTTTATACCACAGTATTTCAAGTTGCAAACACAAGTCTGCAATGTTAAAGAATGTCAGTGTATGGGACTCCTACACTGAAAATAGTTTTGCCTTGCTTTTCTTTATCTGTGCCATCAAAATGCAGCTAGACATGATCCACTGCAATTTAGAGAACCGGTTTATCTTGAACAGTTTATAAAGCACATGTCTCCTTTGCATTCTGACCTCCTCCTCCTCCTCCCAGCCTCCGGCACAATAACGTATCCGATGAAGGCATCTCCAAGCTGATTGAGAGGGGCATCGAATGTGAGCATTTTCAGAAGATTGCGTGAGTACATCGTCCTGCATTACACCAACCCACACAGGATAATAAGAAAGACAAGTTCATATTGTGAACAGACAATTGTTTGGATTTAACCAGATTAAATTTTGTAGTGAAGGTATAAAAGGCACAGCTCACAAAATGGAGGGATCTTGTCCTTAAGCTGTGTTAGGACAGAGAGTTACAGTATGTAAAACCTGACAAAACTAAAACTTCAGTGAGAATGCGCTTTATCAACTCCGCTCCAGACTGACAGTCCTGGTCTTGAATTGGTAAGAAACACAAAGTAATAAGCAAGTGAGACCAATATCTTTGTGTAGTTGCTGTATCTTAGGTTGTGATACCGCTGTTTCAAAATATTGTATTCTGTTTCCAGTTATTGAACACTTGTGACTAGTTCATTTTCACTGTTTTAATTAAACAATCCCCTTGTAGTGCAAATGAGTTCATTCTGTGTATGTGACTTGGCAACATGTATCTAGTGTAGAACTATTCACATGAAAGCGCATTTTCTTTTTTTTTGTTGTTGTTGTTGTTGGTTAGATAAAGGATGTCTCAAAGAATGGTAGTCTTTTAGTCTTTTCTATGGCCTATTATCGACTCCAATTCCAATTTATGGTTGCAGTACAAACCCCATTTAACCTCTGGGGGTGGATAACTTGAGAATTTTTACCTCTACCAGAAACGCAGTAGGTGTAATTATTTACCTCCAACCTGCCTCTTTTCAATGTCATGCTTGACATGAGTCCTCTGAGGCTAAAGTTTAAAGCTTAATCCCAGAAATGAAATAATAGGTATTTACAATGAGTTATTCATTTGTACCTTTCCTGTAGGCTGTTTAATAACAACCTGACAGATGAGTGCACAAAGCATTTTGCAAAACTTCTCCGAACGAAGAAAAATTTTCTTTCCTTAAGGTAAGAATTACCTGGCATTTCCTGTTTGTCCTTGTGTGGTAGGATGTCTATTCTGGTGGATGTCGGATGGGAAAACCGGCCTGCTTTTTTACTGTTCTGCACGTTTTCTTCCATTGAACTGATTTCAGTGAAGTTGGCTCCGTCACTGCTGGCTCCTGATGGCTTGTTATTCTGTTGCAGGCTGGGAAACAATCACATCACTGCACAAGGGGCAGAGCAGCTGGCAGAGGGGCTGAGGGAGAGTCGCTCTCTGCAGTACCTGGGGTGAGAGTCGCTCGTCGGCGTGCCACGTCAGCGAGCTTCCGGATTCACCGCTGCTTGCGCAGGCTATGATTAAAGATCAAGGTTGTAGTACGTTTCCCAATCCATCGCTGAGTGCTTGTCTTGGCTCGTGCTGGTGATATTGACTGCCACGAGCATCCCCACACAGCCAGCCAGGAGCAAGAGGAGGGTGATGTCTTGGTGGTCTAACAGGCCTGTCCCTGCATCCCTTTCTAGACTGTGGGGGAACAAAATCGGAGACCAGGGGACGGAGGCGCTGGCAGAGGCCTTGGAGAAAAGCCCCAGCTTGGTGTGGCTCAGGTAAAGACAACTGGGCATGCACAAAGTCACATGGCTACAATGCTTTATTTTTTTGCACCTACCTCATTTGGACTTCCTGATGGGTTAAGACCAACCTTTCCACCTGCCAGTAGATCTCCCATGATTGCACGGGGGGGAGAGTGAGAGTTTGCAGACGTGCTCTGGGCCACGCATCATCGTGACGCCCTGCAGGTGCCAGTCTGACAGGAGGGGTGCTGATGGGAGGAGCCGGTCTCACAATGGTGCAAGAGCCAAGAGAACGGTGCTCATGTAAACGGAAGCCAGCTGTGCAGCCGTGCTTGAGAAACCCGGTCACAGCCTTCCTGTTTCTTTAATGGCAGAATTTCCCCCTTGTAGTTTCTCAAGCAGCTGTATAAACTTAACTCTGTGCTTGCCTGTGGCTTGGTACAGAAGAGACAGCGTGGCTATAGTGCACTGATGCAGTGTCATTCTCCCTTGTCTTCAGTTCCATCGCCTATTAAAGGGCTGGAGACAGAAGTCAGGCAGCATGCAGATCAATTCCAGGCACCGGTGATTGAGCATGGATGTGCTCCAGGACATGGATAGAGAACCACTGTGATACAGATCTAGGTTATAACATAACATAACATCACTTTATTAGCCCTATACAATTTCTTGCATTAGGAATTAGGCTTTTCACATACCCCAGCTTGCTCTCCATGAGACACACAGACAGGGAGAGAAGCTTGGGGTCAGAGCGCAGGGTCAGCCATTTATACAGTGCCCCTGGAGCAGTTGGGGGTTAAGGGTCTTGCTCAGGGGCCCAACGGAGTTGATTCCTCGGGATACGAGCCGGCAACCTTCCAGCTACAGACGCAGATCCTTAACCACAGAGCCACCGCTCCGCCCGTTACATCAGGATGATTGCAGCGCAATGTCAATGAAAGGTGTTAAAAATGTGTGCCGCACCTATCCTGATGTGTCGCGTTGCTGTGCTGTGATTGCAGTCTGGTGGACAATGGAGTGAGCAGTACTGGAGCCCGTGCGCTGACTGCAGTGATCAAGAATAGCAGTACTCTGGAGGAGTTATGGTGAGTGCCTGTCTCTGTAGACTGGCTCAGCTAGGCTCTGGTTCACCAGTGGTCTCTGCGTAGGCCAAATCACTGCAGGGTGAAGAAAAGCTGTACATTTCAAAAACCACCATATCTCGTCCCAAAAGGACCAGTACCATTCCAGTACAAGTAGTACAAACTCTGGATACCATGGTATGTTCCAGACGATATACCCATGCTTAGTTGGCTTCAGACATCATCTATTTAAAATTGAGTTACTGTGTTCTGAGCTCTGTATTTCAAGATCACCACTGCTCACTGTCGTGCATCCACCTCATTATGAAATTCTGGTAATTAATCCTCAGATTGTAATTTGAAAAATCTGCAGGCTTTACATCTACAGAAGAGGACTTGGATGTATTAGAGGCGATATTCAGACCGCGAGTAATTAGCGGAAAAGTTAATTAGTAGCACAGTCGACCAGTTTAGAGTGGTCTCTTAGGCTCTAAGCAGCAGATGAGGAGGATGCCACCTGATAGCAGCACAAAGCCTGTTGTTCACCAGCCTGAGAGATACTGTAAGATACCCCGAGTGCAGGCATGAGGAGAGAGGCTGGTGCAGTCAGCCAGAGGACAGGCTGTTGGCTACAGGAACGATTCATTCTGGTTCTTTGGACAGAAGTTACATTTTATCTCTGCGCAAATTCTGCATTCTGCTGTCTAGTGGGATGTTAATTTCACTTGAGTTTTCCCCTGAACATTGTTTCCTGAACCTTCACCCAAGCAACTTCAAACACTGCCAGCAACACCTTATTTGCTAATAACATTTTGTATTTAAGATATTCAATACCTAAGCCGTTGTCCGGACCTATAAAACTAAATAAAGACAATATAAACTATTTTATGACATTTGTCAAGGGTACCAGCAGATCAGTACTCAAAATGGCATTTCACATGCATGAAAACTTTAACTTAAGGACTAACACTTAGAATTTACCACAGGTTTAAATTATGTAGGTCCTTTTATTGTGCCATGCATAGTGCTGTGTTACTAGTAATGAAAATGTAGCATTAAAAACAAACCCAAACGAAGCTCCATTCAGGCTCTTGCGTAAGAATCACAATGTCGGCTCTTTCCTCTTTTGTCACTGAGGTTAACCAATAACTCCATCACCCGAGAGGGGGTGCTGTGCCTGATAGCGGCGCTGGAGAAGAACACCAGCGTCAAGGCGATCTGGTAAGATTTCCTCCCCGGCCCGCCGGATGCAGGGGGCGGCCGGCGAGAGAGACACTGGCCGGCACCGCGGAGCAGACGTGGGCAGCGGGGGGGAGATCAGCCGAGAAGCGCACCCCCGGTTCCGAGCGGCGCAGCTTGTTGCCAGGAAACAGCCTGCGCTCGGCTTTCCGACCGCTGGGCACGATGCCAGTGACGAAGCGAGCCAGGACGGAAAGACAGCGCCCTCTGTGTCATCGTCTTGATACTGGGGAGCAGGCCAGGGAGAGGAAAGATGAATTAATTCGTCTCTCTGGTACATTTGTACCATTAGGACTGTTCACGACTGTGTAACAGTCTTAACCAGCCAAATCCTTTATGAAACCATAAACCACACAACTTCAAACAAATATGTCCAGTAGACACTATATCCATGGCCGACCCTAATTAATAGTCGTCATTTGTGCAGTGGTAAACTCCACTCCAGGAATTTGTACTTGGATCTTTGCACAAGTGTGTCTTCTCATAGGTGTTGCTAGGGGTAGCTCAAATAAACCCCTCATTGCACATCTTTCTTCTTTCCGTGAAGGCTGAGAGGAAATGACCTGACAGCAGAGGACATAGAAGAACTCGCCCACAAGGAGAGCCGGCTGACGTTGTGATGCTCAGATCACTCAGGATATCCTCCTGCAGCCTTCCTCACACTCCTCCTCATCCTGCTGAATTGCAGTGCACATCTTCACCACCCAAGACCACGCAGACACTCTGTAGAAGGGGAGATCTTAACATTTCCTTTCCCAGCTCACAATGACTATCCGGGCTATCACTGGGCTATGTTAAACGTCAGAATTTTTAAAACAAAATTACTACTCCTTTATTTAACCAGACAAGGCAGCTGAGAACAGATCCTCATGTCTGATGACGAGAGACTATGGCATCGCTACTCCTTATCAAGCTGCTTGTTCTTTATATTCTGTAGCAGAATTATATTTCTGAGCAGGTGTGTCCGTTTTTCTGATGAATAAACTTAGGGTGAAGCGCGGCTGTGCCAGTCAAGGTAAAACGCGGGGTCCTGAATTTATATTCTCTTCCACCCTCCATCCCTGTTCTGACTGCTCATTCCCAGTCAGGGGCCCGGGGCAGCTGGAGCCTGTCCCAGCCAGCAAAGTGTACAAGACGGGGCCCATCGCAGGGCAGAATCTTGCATTCTTAACTATCTTTAATATCTTAGCATGTGTAACAACATTTATACAACGCACGAGTACGTTTGTACAGACAGCACGTGAGTAATTCATGTTTCAGTTGCAAAGGTACAACTGAGAAGAGGCCACTTTGTTCCTCAAGCTTGCTTGGGGGGTTAGTGGTGAATCAATCTGAGGAGCGAGTCTGGCTGTTTCTTAAAAGAAGCCCAGGTTCTCGGTTTTGACTTGGTCCTTTTTTTGTTACTCCTGTAACCCTTTCCCTACAGCAGTGCCTTCCCTTCTTGGTTTTAAATGTTTTCAAAATTTGACTGACACTTAAATGTAATATGGTGCTGGACGAACTGTCAGGAACTAAGGCTAAGTCTGTTTTTAGCTGTCAGTGGACTGGAGTCAGTGCCATGCTTTTTCAGTCAAGCCACATCAACCTGCCTGACAGAAAACTAAACCACACCAACATATAATGTAATAGTATTAGTAATGCTGATTAGGGCTTTGTAACAACATCCTAGACTACCAAAGAAAAGACTAATGCATTAGTAACTAGTACCATTGACTGAACTTTTCCATGACCCGTGGCAGCACACGGTAGTAAAAAATCCTGCGCTCACTTATGAGAAAGAGCAGCTTCCGCGCTCCGCCCACTGTCGCGATCAGCACGCTCGCCGCTCTGACCCAACGTGCGCCCCGCCCCCTCGCGCGTCAACCAAGCTTCGGAAATCCCCGCCTCGGGTGGGTGGGCCTAAACTAAAGCACAGGTCTTCCATCCAATGAAGTCTTCGAGCCGGCGCTCAACTGCCAATGAACGTTCAAGGGACTTGACAGCATGGTTGGTCGACCAGGTTCCTCTTGTAAATAATCTTCACATTTTGCTGAAAAGGGGTTCTATTTTTAGATTGCTTTTATTTTATTCCCCTGCTACGTTCTTACCTGGCTCCGAAACCCTGAGAGAATGTGAGCTCTTAGAATCACCGTGTTTGGACGCGTCTGTGGCGAGAAGACAGGAGCCCGGTATAATTTGTCGACGGACCCCGACCAATATTTTGGATCCTGGTGACAGCAGTTCAGTCAAAAAAAAAACCGTGCCGGCTGAAGAACAGGTAGCTGGTGACAGCGAAGTTAAGGTAAGGCTGGAAGTGCTTCAAAGCGTGAAAGCGGACCGCTGATCCTGTCTACAACCCGCACCACTATCTCAGCACATCGTGTAGCTTTGGTTTCTGGGACCTATTCCAACCCTCAACTCTTCCCGGATACACTCCCTGGCAAACATAATGTATTAACCAGTGGACAGCTAATAATATCGGCTCAATACAGCGGCTATCCAGGACTTCCTCTAAAAAAAAAAAAAGAAGAAAAAACACCATTCTCTCTGGTGTCGTTTAGTGGCTCAGCGAGGGGTGATGTCACTTCGACCGGAGATGCGCCGGCTTGTCAAAAAAATGCCCTGGCGAGTTGTCATTGATGTGGCGAGTCCGGTTTGGCTCTCGGTTATTTGTGAAAGGCTCTGTTTTTCCCGAGGGAATAAAGCCCGAAGCTGAATGTCTTTGTTACACGTAATGTCGCAGAGGTCAGCGTTGCGATGGGAGAGGTGAATTTATCTGGATGGGGTCGGAACGTGTCGACTTACTTTAAATGACGTCACTGTTGTATTTCGTACCGCCTGTTAACTAGTAATGCTCCTTAATGAAGTCCGAGCCCTACGTGTCGCGCTTTGCCTAGGACAGTCACTGCTGATTTACAGTATCAGTGAAACCGACCTCTTTCCGACGGGGAATCGCTTGTTTCATCCCCACCCTATGACATCCGGACGAATCGGATAATGGTCACTATATAACTTACACAGCATGGGGTTGTTGTCATGACTATCGGAGCTAGCTATGTCACAGGCCTCAGGCACGGCTCGTCACATTTTGACCTTCTGAAACTCCATTGCTGGTATTTTGTCACAGCCTGCTGGCACGTGCTTTGACTCTTGGCTAATGAAGAATGCTGAACGACACCCTTCCCTGCTGTCAGGTGGAGAATGATCACAGGTCATTTATATCTGCAAACTGCACTTCTTCTAGCTGTCTGAGCTGAGGACATGCAGAGTGTTAGAAGGACCCTGCAATTGTTTTCTAGGGATTGGTCTAGTATTGTAAGGTGTGTAGGCAAATGCCTAAAGCAGAGCAGTGCTTGATTTTCAGGACAATGTACCAGCTAGCACGCAGTGTTAAACAAAAAGATCTTTATTGTGTTGTGAAAGGCCCATTCTTTGCACTGTAAGAGAATGATTGTCAGCATCTACTGTGAGCAGCGCTTGTTTGTTTTCTCGTGGGTGCCAGACTGATGCAGGAGAGCGTGCTGGCAGATTACAGTACCAAGAGAAGCATATCCCTCATACAGTAAGAACAGCCGCTCAAAGACAGTCTGCCAACTGCACTGCAACATGTTTAATGCTGCTGTACATTGTACCTGATAGTGGGTGAGATGCTGGGCCCTGATCTCTTGACAGTCCGTGTGCTGAGATTATCCTGCGATGGAATTCAGGCCTGTGATTAATTACATTTGAAATAAATGGCACCGGAGGAGAATTCGATTCACAGCTACTAAAACTCACTTTTTTGTGTTCTTCCAGCTCCAGGTTTTTCCTAATCAAAACACACCACTGAACCTACTTACTTGTTGAAATAAAAAAGTAAGTTTTCTCTGCAGCAGCAAAGTGCTGATCAGAGGTGTCCCATTTCACTTGTTTTAGTGTAATGCTCAGTGCACCAATATCATTAATGCAGTTTTTGAGCTGTGTAGGATAATGCTGCAGAGTGTGGGTTGATGATGGGTTGCAGTGTGGGCTGTGTGGTGTGGGTGGGACAGCTGCAGTGTGTGGTTCAGTCTGAATTTCCCTGTTAGCCCTTTTAACATTTCTGTGGCTTCATCTCGGAGTTTCTGAGGCCATGGGGGAAATCCATTGTCCGATCAGCTGATCACACAGGCAGTACTTTAGATCTTCATTTTTGAATTTGGTGTTCTTCTTAGAGAACCAAGACCTATGAAAATTCTGAAAATCGTTGCTTTCTGATGGAGAATCTTTAGGTTACAACATATAGCAACAGGTGTTCTCTGAAGTGCAAAGAAGATTGACCCTCTGTGCTGTTGTGTTAAGTGGGTTTAAACAACACAAAGTATCCACCCAGTCTTTCCATTTCTGCTGTACTGTCACTGCTGTATGGGTGTCGCACATCAGTGTGTTTTTGCCCCTAAAATGGGAAATTTTGTTCTAAGTAATAAAACATAAATTATACCAAACAGTTCTAAACTGATGAGGTCATTATTTCAGAGCATGTGATTATTATACACCTCTGTAATGCCAGTGGCATGAAGTAGTCCTCTCAGTGTTACCTCCCGGGCGGTTAGAGCAGGCGTCCCCGATGTTAATATCCGCAAAGCCTAGTCGCGTTTCCTCCTCGCCGCCATGAGTTCGGGCCTGTGGAGTCAGGAGAAGCCCAGTGCTGGCTTCCGCGAGGACCTGCCTCTGTTCTGCTTTTCTGACATTTCGAACACCCAGTGCAGCATGTGGGGACACATGGCAAACTACCCATCTCTAGGCAAGTCCGAGAACAACACAAATTCCCCAGGCTGTTCTGTGGAATTAGCCGTCTGCTATTGGATAGGGTTGGGATTGCTTAACCAGGATTCTTCCTGGATCTCCTGCATGGTGCTGAAGCTACAGCAGCAGAGTCAAGTTTGATACAGCTGACACTTCCAAATTACTGTTCTGAAAATAACCAGCTATTCTGTAATTGTTAGTTCTAATTGTTGTTTTATATACTTTTTTTTTAACCTGTGAAAATAACCTACTTAACATAGTAATCTTGTTCGTAGGTTCTGTTTGTACTTATTCATAATGCTTGTTGTTTCCTGGATGTGCCTTGTCTTTTTTTAGGTGTTGCTATTGAAGGTTTTCTCTTCAGCTGCGCACAATTGTCTTAACTAAACATTCCAAAGGAATCTTCATTGTTAAGACTTTGCAGTTTCATTGTTTATGGGCTCAGAAACTAACCTCATATCAGGCTCCACTGCATTTTTTTTAAAAAGGATAGCTGATGAACCTTCCAGAGCAATGCATACATGCATACATTCATGTGGCCAGCAGCCATATCACCCTGCAACTCACAACTGGCAACCCACTGAAGCTAAGCAGGTGTGAGCCTGGCCAGCACCTGGATGAGGGACCCCTGGGAAAAACTAAGGTTGCTGCTGGAAGAGGTGTTAGAGAGGCCAGCAGGGGGTGCTCACCCTGCAGTCTGTGTGGGTCCTAATGTCCCGATATAGTGATGGGGACAGTATGCTGTTAAAATGCACCTTCCTTCGGATGAGATGTAAAACTGAGGTCCTGCCTCTCTGTGGTCATTAAAAATCCCAGGGCGTCTCTTGAAAACGGTAGGGGTATTACCCTGGTGTCCTGGCCAAATTTCCCATTGGCCCTTACCAATCATGCCCTCCTAATAATCATCTATGAATTGGCTTCATTACTCTGCTCTCCTCCCCACCAATAGCTGGTCACATCATCCAGGTGGGGCTGCACATTGGTGGTGGTGGAGGTGATCCCCATTACCTGTAATTTATTATTCAGACTGTAATGTTTAAAACAGATAGCAGTTAGGGACCTTGCTCTGCTAACAGTGGAATGAGACATGTCATAACCTATGCCCTGAGAATAAAAAGTATGCTGGATAATACCAAACAAGTCTTAACATTGTCTACTGATTTATTACTCTTATTTTGCTTATTGCTTGTTTTACAACATGAAGTAATTTGAATTAAGTGTCCTGTTTCTAGTCAAAGATTAACTGTATGTCAACAAGGGATTTACTCACTGCCCAATCCCGGTCCCATGCAGAAAATGTCACTTTTCTTCAGGCAATCTGTTGACATTAGAGCTATATGGAGAGAATGAAAGTTTAGAGATGGTCAAAACCCTTTAAAGTTTACTGATGATTTTGATTTGAAAGATATTGTTTCAGCAGACAGGTATTCTTTATATTCACGATCTTGCATATACTGCTTGTTGTGGCTCAGAGTTAAAAGAAACCTGAATGTGCATAGGGCTGAGATTCCTTCCGACTGGTGCAGTGTTGTACTGTGTTGGCACCTTGGTGTGCTTCAATGTGTCCTGCCATGAGGAAAAGGGAAAATGCTATTTCTGCTAAAACAGCTTCTGCGTGCATTCATAACGTTTCCTGGCCATACATTAGTGAGTACCATCAAAATGGGGTTTCATGAAACTGCTGGAATTATTAGCATAGAATTCTATCCACTTTAAATGTCGTTTCTGTTCCCTGTTGCTATGTACCCTGATCTAAACATTCTCTTATATGATAAGTGCTCTGGACTGCACATAGGTGTAATTTTTATAGTTTTGAATTATATTGAGGCATTTCATAATTAACTTCCACATTCAGTTTATTGGTGATTCTTTGCTTGGCATTTTCTTTGGCTTTTGCAGAGGACACAGTGTAGCTCCTCGCTGTTACAACAGATTTTATCCTCATAGTTTTCCCCAAAGAGCCATAATTCATGGTCACTGGATGAAGATGCATGTTCCTTTGCTGTGGTTTCGCTGACTTGGATGAAGGATTCAATACTCAACCCTCCGTGCCTACTGAAGTGTGGGGTGAAGGTTCAGTTAGTCAGATTGTTTAAGCCTGAATTCCTTTAGCTGGATAACCTAAACCAGAGTTTGCCTTTGTGAAACTGGAGTACTCCTGATTTCAATTATTGGGTTCAACCTTGAGAAAATCCTGATTTAGTTAAACCTGCTTTGTTAAACAGCCCCCTGGTCCTCAAGGACAGTGTACCACAGACTCTGCAAAGTGCCAGCACCTAAAGATCTAAGAAAAACTTAAACTGGTCCCATTAAAACAGTATTGATCCGATTTAGCTAAGAGTTAGAATAAAAACCTTCAGGCTTGCCAGCTCTTCCCTGCCCACTTGATCCTGTAACATGTTCTCACACAAAGACAGTATTAATGCTGGGGACTATGATTTATTCAGAATTTCAGTCGCAAAATTCAGGCTTTTCAATCACTTATTGTAAAAGCCTAATGTATTATTTTTGTTCAGCACTCATCAAGATAAGCAGTCTCTTCCGTCATTTTTTACTTTTTCCAAACCATCTGCACTAATATACAAAATGCAGTGAAGCAAGCAGGAAGGCATATGTTTTAAAGATCTACATGATGTTTTTTTAAAGCAACGTAACGCTGCATTGTTTGCTCTCCTCCTTTCCAAGGATCCCAATGGATGTGGACTCCGGTCAGCGAGAGCCATGCTGACAGACTGCAGAAGGATGTGGGCAGACCGATGTCTCCAGGGAACGGCCCCATGAGCTGTCCGCTCTCTCGTCTTGTCGTTATTTCCTTTCCCCTGGGCTTTCACCGCGGGCGTCCCCGGCGTTAATATGCGCAAAGCCTAGCCGCGTTTCCTCCTCGCCGCCATGAGTTCGGGCCTGTGGAGTCAGGAGAAGCCCAGCGCCGGCTTCCGCGAGGACCTGCGCTACTACGTCGTGGTGCAGGAGTGCCTGCTGGAGAAGCCCCCCCAGAAGACGCTGAAGATCCCCCGGGGCAGCATCGGCCAGACCTGCGTGGAGCGCAACAGCCTGGGCCGGCCGCTGCCCACCGCCAAGGGGAAGAGGAGCCTCCGCATCCTGGACCAGACCAACGTGGTGCTGAGCATGGACGAGAAGGACGTGCAGGAGCTGGACGAGAAGCTGGCCGAGCTGCTGTTCGCCATCACCAACTGCGAGGAGCGCTACGGCCTGTTCCGGAACAAGCCCCGCCTGGACAGGGTCCGCGAGATCGACTGCGGCGCCAAAGTCCGGGTCCAGCTGCGCTCGGGGGACGACCGGCTGCCCGGGGTGGTGAGGTTCAAGGGGCCCCTCATCCCAGAGAGCGTCCTGTCTGGAATCTGGTTCGGAGTGGAGCTACTGGTAAGAGGGGGTTGGTTTTATTAGCGTTATCGCTGCTGATCAGGATCGTACATTTGTTGTCAGATCTGAGTACCCAGATAAATGTGGATCTATTTTAATACTTCCATTCCTTAGGTATAACGCAAAACTATCTCCAATGCTATCCATAGCATGGGAATTATTAGAGAGGGCTTTCGTGTGATGGAGGCGCATGGTCTGTTAACACAAACTTCAATGTCTGCCAATGTGTCGCTGACCAGCTGTCAATCGGCGTTCAGTGAAGTGCGTATTATTTTGTAAATGCTGTAATTGCGTTGTTTGCTAATTGCAGTCATTTTAATTCTTTGTTGTAATGGAGATTTAAGAGTTAATGAGGTAGGATGTTTGGTTTTGGAAAACCAGCCCCCCTGTGTTTGTAAACGAAAATAGCAACTGGGTTATGAACGTGAACCCAAAAAGACAGACAAAAGGTTTTGTCATTTTCTGCCATGCTTTCCATACCTCCGGTGTACTTCCGGGAGAAACGTTCTTGTAAAACAGGTTAACATCCTTTGTCGCAAGGAATGTACTTGAAAGCCACGATGTACTGGGTAATCGGAACCCGGTACGATGTGAAACCCATCGGCACTCAATTGCAGTGCCATCACCAGAACATCATTTCTATTGACAAATAGGCAGCTTGAGTGAAACTTTTCATTCCCTAAACCCGAAAGCTTCAGTTACTTTCAGTGAAAAACGCTTAGCTTTGAAAGTCAGTATGAAGGTGCTCCAGTATGAGTTTGAGGACGTAGCACCACTGTTCCATTATTTTGCCTCATACTTCTCAGGCATTTACAGTGGCATTTGGCTTTATGTAATGTGACTTTAACACACAGGCTGTATTGTCCCTCGGGGCAAATTCACTGCAGTGAATAAACCAGCTCTTGAGTGCCTGTGGTCTGCGTGCCTATTCGCCACATGTTGCATCCTCTTCCTCCTGCTCATCCCGCACGGGGATCTAGTGTGACTCACTAGAGCAACAATCAAAGCCCTCTTCCCCATGCCTCTGCCCAGGAGGAAGGCCGTGGCCAGGGCTTCACGGAGGGCTCCTACCAGGGCAAGCAGCTCTTCCGCTGCGAGGACGAGTGCGGGGTCTTTGTGGCCGTGGACAAGCTGGAGCTGTGGGAGGACGAGGAGGAGGAGGAGGAAGAGGACGTCGATCTGGAGACGGACCACGTGGCCCTGGTGGATCCCTTGGACTCCGACTACCCGCCACTGGGCATCAGCTCTCGGGTGCTGGTTCACACCAGGGATGGCCCAGAGCGTGGCACTGTCATCTTCTGTGACCTGCTGCCTGGGAAAGAGGACCTGGGCTACTACATGGGAGTGGATATGGTGAGAATGAGGAGGGAGATGATGGGAGACGATAAACCACATGGTCCTTTCTGGGGTCCCTTTCAGATTATTGTCCTATAAACAGTGCAGAACATTCCTTCCCTCTGGCGTGTTGGTGGGATTGATTAAAAGATTGTGCCCATAGATAGATGGTACTGCTGACTGACTTAAAGGTGCTTCTGACATCTGGGTCATAATTCTTCAGCCTCTCTCTTTCATTTCGTCTGCATGAGTTAAAGCGCTGTGTGGGAGGACAGTAAGAAGCTCATGACGTGATCACCTATGAAGCTAAAATTAAAGCTCCCATCATTTTTTAAATTACATGTTACATCTTCTGCCAGTCTTAAAAAGCAGTAGATATTCCTGGATAGGTAAATGACATACCTAGACTAAGTAACAGCACCACTGTAAAGGTTTACCACTCTGGGAACATGTTTTGTTGGATGCATTAGGCTGCCAACCTGTCCATGAACAGTGGTGATCTATGCCGGCATCTGGAAATGATCATTCTCTTTCTTTTCTGAGTTTTAAATGAGCATAATTCATTTTTATTTGACTCTGCTGGATGCGGATGAAAGGGGGGAAAAAAATCAAAGCAACAATGAAGTATTAACAACATCTGGCCTTTAGAAGTGTGGTTTTACTCGTAGCCAGGATCAAAGCAGTGTCTGGTTTTCAGAGCCATGCCCGGTGGCAGAATAGATACCGATGGGCTGGGTCACAGGGGATCACCAGGAGTAGACATCTGCCAGTTCTGGAGCCGCTGAAGAAGGGTCCAGTTTCCTTTCAGCCCTCATAGTGGAGAACACAGTGCTGTATAACACGGAAGGCTTTTAAAGATGTATCTGTACCGTCCAGGAATCGGCCTGGACTCTTCTCTCAGTCCTCCCCAGACAGACGCATTACGCTGAAGAGCTCTTTTCCTCCACACTGTCATTAGAAGAGAGAAAAATAAAACATAGCCATCTGTCATTGGGTGGAGTGACCGAGGTCAGACCTGAAAAATCCGGAGGTAGGAATATAAGTGCCTGTTTGGGAGATAATGACATGCTACAGGAGTAATAACGTGATGTGTTGCGCCCTTTCAGGACAATCCTATAGGGAACTGGGACGGGATTTTTGAAGGGAAGCTTCTGTGCGATTTTGCGAGCGTGGAACACACTCTTCTCCTCCCTATTAGTGATGTCATACCAGGTACGTATATTATTATTGTTTTCTCTGTTAATTACTTAATGTAAGAACTAAAGTAGTCTGCATTCCTGAGCAATGATGAAGCTTTATTTTGTTTGAACTGTCTTTGTCAGCTGTCCAGCTGCTTCTCCGCCTTATAGGGAAAAGCCTTGTCTTCTGCCTTGTTTTTGAGAAAGTCAGGCTACGACTTTTCTTGTTTTTAATTAATCTCTGCTGGTGATTTTATGTCCTCATCAGTGACATGTTTACCGAGACTCTATTTAACTGTGTTTCTCAGAGTAGAATGCATTACTGTGTTGCTTTTGTGTACCATGATTGTTGGCTGGTGTTTTTTCAGTTCATTTCTTGAAACACTAAAAGAGAACAACTCCTTTGCTTTCAGTTTTTCTTATTGCGCAGATTGTTTGAATGCATGTTTGTTTAAAGTAAAGCTTGATATTTCTGAAGTAAAAGAAATGTCTCCCAATTTAAAAAAGCAAGTAGTTAAATTTCACACTACACAAGTTTTACTGAGCTCAGGTGCAGCTCCGATACACCTGAAAGATACTCTACCTTTCCCGTTCTTTTCTTTTAGTATTTACGAGCGCTAAAAGAGTGCAGTCATTCACTGACTGACAGGAATTAAGTGTGCTGCGTGTTTGGCGTGTGTGGTGCCCTGCTGTCTTTGTAATGTTTCTCTGTGCGTGGTTGCAGAGTTCCCCATGCAGGAGCAGCGCCTGCAGAAGCACAGCTTTGCGCCAAGAGGCGGTGGGGGCAGTGACAAGTCCATCTCCGGCCAAAACAAGCCAAAGACTAAAGGTACTGAGTGAAGCCGTTCAGCATGCTGAAGGTCTGAATTCTAACAGTTATCCTGTCAACTCTGCACAGAAGGTAGAAAACTTCCAGCTAGACCTTCTGGTTTTTGTGATGAAATAACCAAGATATGGGTAGCAGAGCTGGGGGCATGATGCAGTACTGATCTTTCCGCTCTCTGAACATGTGCAGCTACCGAATGTGAAACTTGCTGCATTAATAAATTATTTATTTCACATAATATGAGCCTATGTGCTGCTTCTGCGATATTACACCATGCTTATTAGCATAAATAATTAAAGCATGTTCTTTCTGTTACCATTAAAAATATACACAGTATATTTTTAAATGCTCCATAGATTGGTGTTTGCAGAAGAGTATGAGTGTCCCTGCATGTATCGATTTCTGCACCTGGCTCTGTTTTAATATTGAGCGGTGATTTGCAGTAAATTGCCAGCATTTAAACTTCACAGATCTATGAATAAAGGAAGTGGAACTATTGTAAAACAAAATGTGTTATGAAAAGGTTTTATTGTATCGTAAGCTGCTTTGCGTTAAGAACATAAGGACAGTTGCAAGCAAAAGAGGATCATGGAGCAATTGTCCCATCTTGCCTGTTGGGGCTATTGCACTGTTACAAAAATGGGTAAATGCATATTGAATTTTCTTAAGTGTGCAGTTAAACCGTTAAAGAAAACTGATCCCTAAGCTACTTCTCCTCTGCCCCTGCCCCTCTGTTCTGCCTTGGCCTGTGTTGCTTTTGCTGCCTGTGCTCATTTTCCTGTCCAATCCAGAAGGCTGATTGACAAGGCGCTCCCATGTCCGATCTCCACTGTAACCAGCTGCTGAGTGGTGTCTATTGGAATGGGCAGCGTGCGCAGCTCTTGCCTTACTGTGTTTAGCATTACAAGTCTATAGCACAGGAGAGAAGGTGATCTTTCAATGCCATATTGCTGAAACCATGGTATGTATGCACCAATGCCAGAGAATTGCAGTAGTGCTAAATGATTCTTCTTTGTTACATTATACGTTATGTGTTCTTTTTTGCGCACTTTATCTAAATGTAGAATGTTTTCCCTCATCAATGTCCTCCAATATACTATGGCTGAAAATCCCTTTAAGGAGAAACTGGAGATTTCAGTCCTACCGATTCTAGAGCCAATCATGAATCCCAGAGGCTGGTGCAATCATCAAGCATGGCTTTAGGTTAGATCAGTTTGTGCTGTTTTTTTTTATTCACTGTTGTCCTCTGCTTGTTAGACTATGAAACCAGTGATGATGCACAGGCTAGTGAAGGAGTTATGCTCTTGAGAACAGTAAAATTACTGATGCAACTTGTATTCTTTCACAGCCAATGGAAGCACTGTAAATGCAGTACGGCTTTCATTTTAATAAAAAACAAAAAAATAGGGGCATATCATTATTCACTTTCTTTTTTTATTGAACTTTGTCATCTACAGGACTAGGTCCCCAGAGTGGAAATAGAAGCAGGTCTGAATTTTATTACACTTTAAATGGCAGCTCTGTTGACCATCCTCCACAATCCAAATCAAAAAGCACATGGTACATTGATGAAGGTAATACAGAGTGTGTGCACGGTTCTCAGGCACAGGCTATCTTGATAGCAGGCTATGCTTTTACACTCTTTACCAACACGTACTATCTATAACCTTAAAGTTAAGCATTAATTGTTCATGGTCTAGTTGCATACACTGCCTTTCTTCTCCTTATTTGAATAATATTAGAAGGCGTAAGAGCTTATTTGGAATGCAGTAACATTTTTCTTTTTGTAACAATGTGTTAACAGCTACTTGTTTTCTTCAGAGTTACAAATAAAAATCTGGTATTGATTTCCAGTAATGTGAAGAAATGACCTGCTAACAAGATCTTGTGTCCACAGCACTGCCCCGTTATCATTTAGTTTAGAATTCCATGTGCATGACTGCATGCTTCGGTCTGTATTAGCTCACAAAAGGCTTTTAATAATGTTCTGGAAAATGATGAATGTGTAAATACAGTTATATGTTTGTTTTATCTGAGACTAAACAGTTGACTGATTGTGTTTTTTGCCAAAAGCTGGAATTATTCAGTGGGGTTTGAAATTGGACAGGATTCTATTTGTACAGTTAACAAGTTCATTACCAGGCAGTATCGGATGTATTCTTTAAAAGACTGTTAGATATTCTTAATGCTTCCTTTAAGAATGGAAAAATAGTGAATGTAGGGATGAAAAGGTCTCTTTGCCTTTTTTTAATTTAGGGTTTTTTTTCTGATGCTGTTACAGGGATGTATTTATTTACTTGGAAAACATGGTGCAGAAGAGAATGGTCTATACCAGCATTTGTGTTGAAGGGTTAAAATGGTATGAGGCTCTGGATGGAAATGAAGTCTTTGCTAATGCAGCTGTAGGGCAGGTTGAGGTTCTTCTCCAGAGATTCCATTCAGGGAAAAATCTTTGATTTCTGTTTGGAAGATGGCGTCGTGTTAGGATGGTTAGGTTTGCTAACTGAAAGGGCTGCTGTACAGTTAAGGTGACGTACGAGTAGAAAGAACTCCTGTGGTTCAGTTGTCTTGTCAGTCATATCAACCCTGGAGTAGCAGCAGCAGCTCTGTGTTATAGAGAAGGAGCAGGGGGAACTGATCCTAACTGATCCCTCCGACACTTTCAGAGTTTTTCAGTAACCCTCTTTTACCCTCAACAGAATTGAACAAAACTGCATTCAAATATCAAAATACTATGGTCATAAATGTTAACAGTTCAGCCAGACCGGCTTTAGGAATCCGATTCCTGTGATTATCTGCCATGCGTGCTTACGAGTGTGTTTTGTGAGTGTTGTGCTGTCACTACTGACCCCCTCCTCTATCTCCATGTGTGATTGTGTTTCTGTGTCCATTCACATCATGGGAAAGGCTTTGCTTTGTGTTGATTTAAAAAATGCTCGTTTTGAACTTGTGTATGTGCTTTAAGTGTGCATCACTGTTATTCTGATCTTGTCCTTACAGGCCCAACACCTTTCTTGAGGGGTGGCGGATTTTTTAACATTCCAAATTTTGGCTCCTACCTGCAACATGAGTTTATCATCGTGCTATGCAAAAGCAATATAATTGGCTTCCCTGTGCCTGTGATGAGAGGGAAAAACAAATAAATTAAAACTGAAAGAATACTTGCCTACTAGGAAGAAAAGATAAATATATGGTTAAATTGCTTTTAAAAGGAAATAGGAATTCAGTGATGTTTATATTTATGTTTTATAAAAACATTTATTGGTGCTCCTATACTAGGTGACACCCTTCCTTCCATTTTTAAAGTGAGCTTGGCACAACGGAAATATAAAAGAGGAGAATATAATTAAATTGGTGTTAAAAATAAATATGCTGGTACCATTCTGACCTTCCCACATCAGACTAAAAATATAATACTGGTTAGCTTAGGCCTTTTTCACATTACAACAGTCGGCTTGAATAGATCAAAGCCCATGTTAGAGAGCATACAGTAGCATGTGTTCTTCATGCATTTGTCAGGGTTATATATAATTTCCTTTCTGAAGTATTCCAAATTGCCATCTTATTGTCTGTTAGTGCAAAACGTGTCATCGTTTTAGGTTTAATACTGCATCCTGCACTTTTTTTCAGTGGAACTGCTGCATGTCAGGACTTTTTTACAGTTCCATGTGAAAAGTCTATTCCATTATTGAAAACATGCTTGTGTTGTAAAGTCTAAGTCTCCTGGATAGAGACGTTTGCCAGACTCCATCCCGTGTTCACGCTGTTGAAGGCTCGTAGATTGTCCTCAGTTATACAGGCATTGGTGTTTTTTTTTCTATTGGCTCTGAAAGGTGCCCGTCTCTTGTTTTCTGCCCGTCACTCCGCAGTGGGGGGGGACCCCGCGAAGTCGCTCATGGACGCGCCCCCCGAGTTCAGTCAGTCCCCTCCGCCCTCGCGGGCCCCGCCCGCCCCCTCGCTGCCCGGCGACAACAAGTTCCACTCGCTGCCCTTCAGCCTGAACAGGAAGAGCGGCTCCAACGGCAGCATCAGCCACAGCCCGCTGTCCCTGTCCGTCCAGTCGGTCATGGGGGATCTGCCCGACCTGCAGCCTGTCCCGGCGCCCCTCCGCAACCAGTACGGGCTGGAGGTGGGCTCGCTGGTGGAGGTGAAGGACAACCCGCCCCTGTGTGGGGTGATCCGCTGGGTGGGGCAGCCGCCCGGACTGCTGGAGCCCCTGGCCGGCCTAGAACTGGTGAGAAGAGTTCGAATCGTGCTACCGCCAGCCTCGGCGCTGGGATGGTTGCCGAACGGGAGGGAGGAACGGGTGGCGGGCAGGTCTCGCTGCTGAGCTTCTCTTTGGTCACGGTGTTGCTCTGTCCCAGGAGGAGGAGTGCCCTGGCTGTACAGACGGCACCTTCAAGGGGACTCGCTACTTCACCTGCCCGCCCAAGAAAGCCCTGTTCGTCAAGCTGAAGAGCTGCAGGCCGGACTCCCGCTTCCCAGCGCAGCCCCATAACACCAACCCCATCGAGCGCTGCAACTCCATAGGTAAATACGTTCCAGTGCTACCATCCTTTCTTCAGCTCCATCCCACACTCCAGGCCCCAAGGATACCTGGTTACCAGGAACAAACCATCCACACAGGTTGCAGCTGGTTCTCTTTGCTGTTCCAAGGAATTCCTGAAATCAGTGGCCTACCACTGTCATGCCGGATCAGCATTCAAATGGCTCTCGTACAGTCGCGTAGAGGCTATTTCTGGGTGTTGTGCAGTAGGCGAATTAGCAGAGCTCTGGAAAAAAGAGCAGGCGTTGCTGACGTGATGTCATGTGTCTGCAGCCTTCGGAGGGTACCTGAGCGAAGTGGTGCACGAGAACACGCCTCCTCGCACAGAGAACGAGGGGCTGGAGGTCATGATTGGCAAGAAGAAGGGGATTCAGGGCCATTACAACTCCTGCTACCTAGACTCCACGCTCTTCTGGTGAGCATGCAGCCGGACAACGATGACAGACGTGCAGTGCAGTAAAATGTAGGGATCAATTTTACAGGTGTAGTATATATACATACGTGGATGTAGGGCATACCTGATGCGACTGGCTTTACGGTCGCTTTAAGCTGGTTTTTTACCTTTTTAAACAAATGTTATTAGCTTGATGACATTACATTGTTATTTGATCACAATGAACCAATGACTCAATGAGGTATTGATGGTGGGCTCAATGCAGATAGTGGCCTCCACAGAGTGCACTGCTGTGGCGCTGTGTTTTGGAAGGCATGTTCAGGTTAGGCTCTATGCCTATACACATGAGGCTTCTGAAGCTCTGCTGTTCTACCACGTGGTCGTGGTTAACACCTTCATTGCCCTTTACAGCCTGTTTGCCTTCAGCTCAGTGTTGGACACTGTACTGCTGAGACCTCGGGCCAAGAGTGATGTGGAGTACTACAGAGAGACTCAGGAATTGCTGCGCACTGAGATAGTCAACCCTCTGCGCATGTGAGTGTTACTGGAGGACCAACATCAAATGCATTACACTCTACAATGCAAGTGGAACTCATGCCATGCCTCCACTAAACTCCACTAAACCAATCTTAGTGTGGTGTGTTTCTAAGTACATGCAAGGTTTTTTAGAAACTTTGCAGTAAACGTGCAGATCCAGTTGTAATGTAAAGGTCTATGGGGGCATGCTAAATAGAGTTTTGCCAACAAGAACATCTTGTGTAATATCACACCACCGATCACACAGTCGCGTCATTTAAATTCCTGCACTCCACACGCCAGCTGATTCACAGAGAACACTTCAGCAGACTAACAAGGAAGACAGCACTTCCACAGACCAGCTTGGTATAACTCTCTTCTTCCCTTGGCGGTCCTCAGACACGGCTATGTGTGTGCCACTAAAGTGATGAAGCTACGGAGGATCCTGGAGAAGGTGGAGGCTGCTTCTGGGTTCACGTCCGAGGAGAAAGGTGAGTGGCACAGCTGTCGTTTCCACTGTGACAGTGCATTTTAATGGTCTTTTATATAAGCTGTTGGTAACTCGTTATTTCTTCACTTTACTGGAAATCGATACCGGATTTTTATTTGCGAATCTGAAGAAAACAAGTAGCTATAAATGCTTATACTGCATTGTATTTATATATATATATTTATTTATTTTTAAAATCACAACATTTTGCTGTCGCCGTGCAGATCCTGAGGAATTTCTCATTATCCTGTTTCATCACATTTTAAGAGTCGACCCCTTGCTGCGATTGAGGTAGGTACAGAAAAAAGGTGAACGGTTCTATGACTTTGCAGGATACTTATTTTATTTCTAACGTTTGGGGGAAAATATATCCATGTAGGTGAATGAATGTTTCCGTACGTGCATCACATGCAAACTCAAAACATTTTGCTTGTACAGTATCTGTCAAAAGTTAAATGGCAGAACGGAGGAATTGTCAGCAGCGTGCAGTAGTTGTTAGAGCTCTGGACCTAGAAGGTTGTGGGTTCAAATCCTGGATGGGCAGCTACTCTATGTACTTTTCATCCTTCACTCAAAATGCCCTCAGTGCCCAGAAATGGGAGTGTTCTCCTTTGACGTGCTTGTTAAAATAAAGGAATTAACCACAGTAGGGTGCGATACACCAGTACACTGCACCATCTTGCCACGATGTGTCTGTGAGAGAGGATAAGAAAGACACAACAGTACAGCCCTCCTCCTCTTTCGCCTTTTATGTGTATAGGTCTGCAGGACAGAAGGTCCAGGACTGCTACTTCTACCAGATCTTCATGGAAAAGAACGAGAAGGTGGGAGTCCCCACGAGCCAGCAGCTGCTGGAGTGGTCCTTCATTAACAGTGATCTCAAATTTGCTGAGGTAAGGGAGATGCGCCTTCCTGCATGTGACTGTGGCTTCAGATGAAATCTATATATTCAGACAGGGTCCAGTGACTCGGCACTAATCTTGAAAGAGACCTCATCCTGAGCGACAGCCTTTAAGAATTAATGCACTGGGACCTGCGCATGGCTGAAAACCATTTCTTGGCACCTTGATTATTATCACTTGGCTGGGGTCACCATGTTGGGCAGGGCACGTGCTGCCATGCAGCAAGAAAATGTAACAGGAGTTAAATATCTGAAATGCAAAATAAATGGGCTGCTTACCACATTCTGTTCTCCCCAGGCCCCATCCTGCCTTATTATTCAGATGCCTCGGTTTGGGAAAGATTTTAAGATGTTCAACAAAATCTTTCCCTCTCTGGAACTCAACATCACTGATTTGCTTGAAGACAGTGAGTAATATTTTCCGCCTTAGACGTTGCTGTCGGTACCTGCTGTGGTGCGTGTAGTGGCCTGTAACGGGGCCTGTCTGTTTGGTGGTGTGGCTGACGGGACACACTGACCAGAGGAAGGGGCATCTTGTGTTCCAGCTCCTCGGGAATGCCGAATCTGTGGGGGTCTGGCCTTCTTTGAGTGCAGAGAGTGCTACGAAGACCCTGACATCACAGCTGGGAAGATCAAGCAGTTTTGTGAGAAGTGCAACATGCAGGTGAGTGCGGTTTTATGGCAGTAATGCTGAACTGCAGTCTTGAGTGCTATAGGGTCTTTAGCTTTTTATACCCACCAGAGCTCATAGCATACTTACTGAATAAAACTGCCAGCTTAGCATAACACGTTTCACAGATCTTCACTGGTTGATCCTTTAAGGACTGGAGTTGTGCACCAGTTAACTTTCACAGTTGCTTGGTGACTGTTTACTGGAAGCTTAAGGCTTAAAGAAGGGTTAAAAAGAAGTACTCTTTATATTGAGGGTCATTAGTTTACCTAGGTAAACTAGGTTCCCAAACCTTGAGGTAGAACTTTTAACATCAGCTGGAGATCCTACCAGTTAGCATTATTGGGTAATATTTAATTTGTATTTTTCAATACCAGTCTGCTATACCAGATATGCCCACCTGGTGGCAACCTTGCACAACAAATGCTCTTTATGCTTTGAGGCACTGAAGGATTTCAGCTACTTTCCTCACCTCACTTGACATTCTTAGAGATTTTGAGTTTGTGGAGCCAATGCATATTAGTTTGGTTTCTTGTATAGAGAATGTTTGTTATAAAAAAAAAATGTCACCAATGTGTCTTTTGCTTTGAATGATTAAACGATACAAGTTGGATCAGGCGAGGATAGTGTAGGTGTCTTGCTGCCCTGTGTGAATGGGCAGCAGGTGCCAGGCGTCGTGCAGTTCTGCATGCCCATTGCCTGGCAGGACGTGTTCAGTAAGCAGTAGTTTACGTGTGTGGCAGGTGCACCTCCACCCGCGGCGCAGATCCCACCGGCAGGGGGCGCTGTCTGTGCCCAAGGAGCTGCAGGAGGGGGGCCGGCAGGGGGGCTTCCCCCGGCAGAGGATGGAGCTGTTTGCTGTGCTCTGCATCGAGACCAGTCACTACGTGGCCTTTGTCAAGTACGGCGCCGCCGACTCTGCTTGGCTCTTCTTCGACAGTATGGCTGACCGTGACGGTACGTGTGACCGAGATCCGTGCTCTGTAGACGCCAGTAGCAAAAAAAAAAGTTTGGCTTTATGTTCATTATTTTATTCCCAGCCCTTCAAAAAGGCAACAAAAAACAACGTGTGATACAGAAGTGTTTAGAAAGAGGAGGCTGTTTTAAGAAGCACAACATATGCAGTAATCAGTGTTGCAGCTTTATAGTCAATTAGAAATTTCTGAAGAAGTAACCAGCCGTATTTCTAATGTCGCAAAATCCCTGTCCTGTTTAAGAATTGGATTGTAGCATCTAAGACAATAAAGGGAGAAAAAGCTTTTTTTTTAGATGGAGTTGTGGGGTCTCAATAAACGTCTCTCTCTCTCTTCCACCCAGGAGGGCAGAATGGCTTCAATATCCCACAAGTGACGCCCTGCCCAGAGGTGGGTGCATACCTGAAGATGAGCCCGGAGGAGCTCCATGCTCTGGACCCCAAGAGCATCCAGGGGTTTGCGCGCAGGCTGCTATGCGATGCCTACATGTGCATGTACCAGAGCCCCACCATGAGCCTGTACAAATAGAGCACCCTACTTCCGCCCGCGACGCGCAGACCCCACTGGCGCCGCCGCCCTGACCTCAGCAACAGCTCGCAAGTACTTACAAAAAGCCCCGGATGGCAAGCCTAGTGCACTGCGCATCTGTTCCAAGTGGCGTTTTCGTGTTTTTAATCTGTGGCGAACAGAAAAAATGTGATTTGTAGATTTCTCGTCTCGCAGAGCAGCAGCAGTACTGCATCTGTTCATGGAAGCGTCAGGAAGTGGCTTCACTCCAGGCTGCTGCAAGCAAAGCATGTTTAGGAGGCTAATGAGTATTCGCACTGGTGGAATAAAAAAAAAAACGGACCTAATGGGAAACGAGTAAGCGTCGCTTTGCTCTCTCGGCGGGTCTCATCCCACCACAAGGTCGCTGGCGAATTGGGCAGGGTGTGAACTTCGAACTGCAAGGCCACATCGAAAGCTTTTGATAACACTTCCAAAGGGTGTTTTTTGTTGTTTTGTTTCTTTGTTTTCAGCAGGGTGAGGGTGGGGAAGCTTTTTTTAAAAAAAAAAAAATAAAACCATTGGCTGAAGAATATAAAGACTTTTTCCCATTTGTCTAACTCCAGTAGCAGTGTAGGTGTGTGTGAGCCTACGATGTGCAATATGGAAGTGATGAGCACTCCAGGTGTGGTGCAGAGGTGGGAGTGCAGGGAACAGCTGTGTGGGAGAGAACAGCTGGAGAGCCAGCAGAGGGAGGTGCTCATGTTCTTTTTATCCCTGATCAAGCCGTGGGGCGAGGGGGCATTGGTTAAAAAGCAGGTGTATGAAGTAAGAGTGAGATGACGGCACTGCAAAAATTAATTTAAACTTTAAAGATGGAAATTTATTCCTGCTATTTTTTTAATAGAAGCAGAATCTATATATTATGATTGTTTGGTCAATGCACTGTTCACAGATTTTAGGGCTGAACCATTACGTTATGATAAGAAAGATAAAATGCAAACGAGGACGACAGTGGGCACCTGCCAGCCCATGAAAGATCAAAGACTAGGAATTTATAAAAAGAAAATTGTCTATGACAAGATCTACATTACTGCTCTGTTTACTCCTTAATACCACTCTTAATTAAGAGTCCAGCTTGGTTTAGCTGGATCAAGCTAAAGTTTAGAAAGGAAATTAGGACCTTATTCCCAGAAGAAATAAGGGGTTCCACTATTTAACTGGTCCCAAATATAAAGACAGCATTTTCCCCTTACCATATTTGTTACTTTAGATCCTTACATTTGTATGTAGGTCATTTTTTTTGTAACAACATGAATGTAGAATTAAGGTTCAATATGTGTTAGGTTATGATATTTATTATATGTGTGTTATGATACACATATGTGCCACATGTGTTATAAACATGTTAAGTGTTTATATTGCTGCAGTGTGCTATGGCTCTGAATGCATTTCAAGCTCATTAAGAACGGAAGTTTGAAACAATATTTCTGTTCACAGAAAACTCATCCACAAGAGGCAATCTACAGTATGGGATAAATAGCATAAAATTACGGTTGGCATTCAAGTGGTTAGTGTGGTGCTATCATTGCAAACTAATTAAGCAGGTAACAATAATACCATATTAAGGGAGTACAAACAAGTAAACAACTCAGACCAAAGTATGAGGCTTAATTAATGTGCTTGAATATAATTATACAGAGTGCATTCTTCCTTGATAAATATAGCCTTAAAATAACGGAAGGGTTATCCTCAGCAGAGCGTATAGCACAGAAAACAGGAAATGCCTCACAGTCCTGATTATTATTTGCCACATTTAAAGCAGAGACGATGAGTCCTGAACCACCACAGCCTATTTCCAGCACACATTGGAAACCAGTGTTCTGCAATAGTGGCAGACCTTCGTTTATGAATTTAGTTTTTCCCCACTGTGATGTCACAGATACCTCTGCTAACACCCCTACGTGCATAAGAAAATAAATTACAGAACCATTAGTCCACGTACTGTTGAGTGTTGAGGGCCTATGCAGTAAATTTGGATCCTGGGAGTCTGCAGCTTTTTTTTGTGTAGTATTTAAAATATGCATTTTACATAGGAAAAAGGGACACTTGAAAATGAGCTCCCACTAAAGGGGGCAAAGGATAGATATATAGCAGACCATGTCTTTTTAAAGTAATTATGGAGAACCTAAACTGCTGTCTGTGGTTAGGAAGGAGAGCAGTGCAGATGTTTGTAAGGTGGTGAGGACTTTTGTCTTGAAATTATCTTCATGGGTTCCTTCGACCTTCAATGTGATGTAACTGTAAAACCGATTATTGTGTAAACGACTGTGTAGCATCATGTTTGTCACCTGTAAATACAAGGGACAGAGTGATCTTACAGCTTCTCGGTGAGCTGCAGAGGAGTGTCTTGTGTATCTGTACAATTTTAAATGTACACTGTTAATTTAGATGTCTCTCTCAGTGCTGTTCTTAAACATTAACTGAATTAAACCCCATTTTTGAAAGAAAGCATTTTTGATTCAGTTGAATTGCCTGGAGACTGACTGACTGATTGACTGACTGCTGCTTGGCGACTTGACACATTTGACAGCATGCTCTCAGGTAACACTGTGCTTTGTGAACTGGAGGCTAAAACCGTGATATGCATACCTGTCACAAACTGTATGTCCCATTAGCATGGCAGCACTGCTGGAGCGCGGAGAAGAGCTCACAGGTTCAGTCCCGTGACCCCTCAGCGCCTCACCATTTGGTGATGTGAGAGGACAGATGGGATTCCCCAAAGGCAAACCGATCTCGGCATCTGCAACACCAGGAAGTGTAATACAGGATGGAGGTTTGCTAGCTGAAATTAAAGCATTTGTTTTTGGGAATCATTTCTGAATGGCATTTTTGTTTGGCAACATTCGTCGGGGAAGAATGTGCATAAATCCTAAGTGCAAAGACTGTATCAGTAGCGAGACTCCTGCTGTTTCTGGTGGTGTGTCTGATCAGTGCAGAGGAGACTGCTTGGGCTGGAGGGTCTGTGGAGAGCACTTTCACAACCTCTAAGCAGCTGTGTTAATGACTTTGTCACAAACATGCATACTGTACGTGTACCTGCTTTCAGTCTGCAAATAAGAAGGGGGCATTTAGGACAGAAAAGGGGACTGACTTTTATACCCAGAGAGCTGTGAGGGTCCAAACAAAATCTTAGCTGTCTTTTGGAAGCTGACACTCTGGGATCCTTCCGAAAGAAGCTGGATGAGGTTTGGGGATTGATGGGCTAGTAGCAGCCAAACAAATGAGAAAAAAGGAAGGCCCCCCTCTCTCTTATTTCCTGTCTTACATTCTAAAGTGTAAATTAGAATCTGAAGAAAGGCAATTTTTTACTGCTTTGTTTGCAGTCTTTCCTGACATTTAGTACATGGGGTAAGTTTCCTTTAATGTGGTGTGTTGCTATCGTCAATGGCCTTTTATATGGTTGAAGGTATTCTACTCATCTGAGACAAGAGTCCATTGACTTCCAGAGGCTCAATGTGAATGCGTGCAGAGACTTTTTTTTTTAAAAAGAAAGGAAGCGCAAGAGAATGAACGCCTGAACATGCCGTTCCGGCACATAAACCACAGCAGCGTTTCCATTGCGTTGACAAGAAAACTCGTTTGAAGCCTTGGCCGTCACTGCGCCTCCCTGCTGAAACTCGGGCACTCTCAAGGTGCACAGAGAGGAGTGGCTGGACACAATTAGGTAAGAAAAACAGACTGACAATTAAAATAATGTGGTCCAAAGCACTAAAGTCATCTCCTTCCAGCTTTCACAAAGTTGTTTCAGAGGGTTAGTGGTGAAGGGTGTCTGATGAGGGATGTGCCACTTTTGTGTCTCCTTTTGTTGGTGCAGAGCTATGCGGCTATATGAACCTCGACCCAACTCTTGAAGACACTGTTGTGTTTTAGAAGACAATCTGACAATCATCTCGGCGGCAGAGCGCCATGCCGCTTCCTCCTCTCTGCCCCCGTCATGGGAAGCCTGTTGCTCCCTGTACCCTGCCTGCAGCAGTGGCTCCTGGGCGGCTGGGAGGGAGCTCTGCTGCTGACATCCCAGCCCCCGAGCTCCCCGGCCTGCTGTTCTTCTCC